CTATTGTCCACAGGTGTCTGAAGAGGCATCAGATCTCCCGGAACTGGAATTACTACATGAGCTACAATGTGGGTGTTGGAAACTGAACTTGGGTCTTCTTAACCACTGAGCCACCACTCCAGCTCCCTATGTAAAATTTCAAGTTAATTTACAATTAATATACTCAGTAGGTACTGATCTTTTGTAGGCTGGGCAGTGCTACATCGAGCATGGCTAGGATGACTTGGGGGTGGCAAGAGGATGAAGAAAGGACAGACTCACAGACACACATTGAAAAGCTGGGGTTGGGTGGGACATGCTACTTTGCACCTACTGTGAGACACCCCAGGATCTCAAGGGGTTTATTACATACAGCCTTCATTAGCCAGTTTGGTAGGAGGTCTCTGTAGGTCAGCAGTCTCAGGCTGTAAACATTCAGGTAAGGGAAGCTATAGATGCCAGTTTTTCCACACACTGCCAACATTTGAACTCAGACTACAGGAAGTCTTTGCCTCCATCTGAGTCTCACCCCAAAGGGAAGGTTTGGTCACTCCCATGGGTCTGAGGAACTGAATTCTTGACATGGCTGTGCCCATGTCAACAGCACACTCAGGATTTTATCTGCTCCTTGCATCCACTTATGGATTCCCTGGCTCCCCACAGTGTAGCCATATACCTGCATTTGGGTCATAAATAGTTTTCACAACCATGTGTTTATTAGGGATGAAGCAGTTTTATATGATTACATATTTTTTAAGACACTGTGTAGCCTGATACTCTCACTACAGGACCAGGCTGGCCCAGAGCCCACAGAAATCTGCCTGCTTCTTTCTCCTGAATGCTGGACTTAAATGTGGACGTCACTACTCCTGGAGGGTAATTTCACATACATTCAAGGGAACAATAAAGACTGATTACAAATTGCTTCCTTGAAATGATTTCATTACATTTTAATGTAATTTGTATGTGTATGTGTATTGGGTTCATGCCACAGTGCATATATGGGGGTCAGAGGTCAACCTGTGGGACTGTGGGATTCAGTCTCTCTTTCAATCATGTTGTCAGGCTTGGTGGCAGACACCTGTACCCGATAAGCCATCTCACTGGCCCCATGCTTCCTTTCTTTTTTATTTTTAAATTTATTTACTTATCTTTATTGCATATGTAGTATTCTGTCTGCATAATTGTCTGCACGCTAGAAGAGGGCACCAGGTCTCTATAGATGGTTGTGAGCCACCATGTGGTTGCTGGAAATTGAACTCAGGACCTCTGGAAGAGCAGTCAGTGCTCTTAACCTGTGAGCCATCTCTCCAGCCCCTTTTCTCTTTTCTTAAAAAAGTTTTTTTTAAGGTTTATTTATTTTATTTTGTAGAGGGTAAAACATCCTTGTGCACACAAGTGCTAAGGAAACCAGGAAAAGTTAAACTCTGATGCTATTTCTTCAAAGGTAGGAGATGCTGATCTGTCTTCCTCCCAGAATTCTGGTAAAGGGCATAGTTTTCAACCTGGTGATCTTTTGCTATTTGTAGGGGCAGACTTTACCCAAATACCCCAGGATATTATGTTTGTTTACCCCTCCCAAATCTTGGGCATTGCTTCTCAGTCCATAAAACCCATCATTATGAGAGATGTCACTTATTTATGTTATCTTAGGTCCGGGCCAATCTTGACTTCCACAGGCATTCTGTTTACCTCAGTCGTTCGCAGGAGACCCTTATCTTGAACACTGTTTCTGAGTCAACAGCACTCATCTTTATGGAAGAAACCATGTGCACTTTGTAAAGAGTTTTAATGCAAACCTGTCATGTTGTACACATGGGACTGAGTTAATTGTCATCTGAAAACATTTTCCAAAATTGTGCTGAGCTTAAGTATGGCTAAAATAAGCCACTTGGTGTCAGACTCCAGAAGTTTGTCACAGCAGTAGTTAACTAGGTTGTGCTGAACCAAGTTTCATTTTTTCCTCACCCTGACTGTTTCTCTGCCAGCCATGATGCTTGCAGGGATCTCCACATTATTTATGTGTATGAGAGTTTTGCTCAAATGCACGTCTGTGCCCCATGTGTATTCCTGATGACAGAGGAGCTCAGAAGGTGTAGAGTCCTAGAATTGGAGTTATGGACATTTATGACATGTGAGTGCTAGGAGTTGAACCTGACTTCACTAGCACTGTGTATTAGGGTTCTCTAGGGGAGCAGAATTTATAGAATAAATCTATCTATCTATCTATCTATCTATCTATCTATCTATCTATCTATCATCTATCTATAATCTATATATTTATCTGTCATCTCTCTATGTCTTCTATCTATCTATCTGTCATCTCTCTATGTCTTCTATCTATCTATCTATCTATCATCTATCTATCTATCTATCTATCTATCATCTATCTATAATCTATATATCTATCTGTCATCTCTCTATGTCTTCTCTCTATGTCTTCTATCTATCTATCTATCTATCTATCTATCTATCTATCATCTATCTATCTATCTATCTATCTATCTATCTATCATCTATCTATAATCTATATATCTATCTGTCATCTCTCTATGTCTTCTTTCTATCTATCTATCTATCTATCTATCTATCTATCTATCTATCTTCTATCTGATGAATCCATCCATCCACCCATCCATCTATGGGGGACTAATTAGAATGGCTTAGAAGCTGTCTAAGAATGGAAGGTTCAAAAACCCAGTCATTGTTCAGCCCATGAGGCTGTATGTCCCAGCTGGTCTTCACTATATGTCAGAATCCCAAAGAAGAAGGCTCTAACGCCAGTGAAAGAAATGCATTTGCTATTGAAAGAAAGCAGGTAAAGAGAGCAAGCTTCCTTCTTCCAAGTCCGTTATATAGTCTGGACCCACTTCAAAGGATTTAATTAAGAAAAAAAATCCCTCACAGGTGTATCCATTTGCTTCCATTTTAGTTAATTCCGGATGTGGCCAACTTGACATCCAAAAATAGCCATCACTCACTGAGTACTTAGCTAGGTTTCTAGTACCAGGCATGTTTCCCTCTTGTTGAATGGTTCTTAAGTCTAATTAGGGAACTGTCGGTTACTACCAGTGTATGTGTGTCACTGTTGTACCCTTGGAGCTGTCACACATACTCCAACCAACAACCCTTTAGTCTGACATGTACACACTCAAACTGGAGAGCAGTGAACATGAACCAATATGATTGATTTACAGGCTTTGATAGTTGTCATGTCAGCTGTGCCTTTTTTCCTGGTGGGTGGGGTGGGTCATAGCAACAAGGCAAAGAACTGGAGCATACAAAGAAACAAAGCACAATGGCAATGACTAAGGGCCAGGCAGGTAATAAATGTTTTTGTTTTTTGCCTGCCATGTTTCAGACACTAGGTGTCAGTGGAGCACCTTGCTTTTCTCTTGTCAATCAGAGACAGCTTTTCCATCTTTCTCTCTTCAAAATTAAATGCTTTTTTTTTTTTTTTTTTTTGTTGAGAATTTATAGAATGAGTACTGGGAGTCAGAGGCAGGTGGTGGATCTCTGTGAGTTCCAGGCCAGCCTGGTTTACATAGGGAGTTCTAAGGCAGCCAGAGCTACACAATGTGACCCTGTCTCAAAAACAAAAACACCTCTAATCTTATGGTAATTATGTGAAAAGAGAGGCATGCTATTGTGATAGTGGACACATTGATTTTTTCCCTTTATTTCTTTGTGTGTCATTTTATATAAAATTATATTAAAATATATAGTGTATCAGTTTGAATGTCAACGCTACTACATTCTCCTTAATTCTGAGAAGAAACTAGCCTATGAAAGCTAAACTCAGAATGAAGTCAAGGATGATGTTGAATTCCTGGGCTTCCTGCCTCTACCTCCCAACACTGGAAGAAAAAGGAGATGCCACCACATCTGCTTTTTTCGTTTTTATTTGAGGCTCCTCCTCATACTGTGGTCCAAACTTGATTTTTCTGTTTTCCTGATTTAGTCCCATGAGTAGTATGCCACAGGGCTGGCAAAACTTTTACTATTTCATGCCCAGATGAAGAGGGTTTCAGAGACATCCCATAGGGCCCAGCCTCACACTCTGTTTAAAGGTTTTGTTTGCTTTGTGTTTGAGTCAGTCTTACACTGTAGCCCATGATGGCCTTGAACCCAAGGCAATCCTCATGCCTTAGTCTCCTCAGTGCTGGCTGGGATTGGAGGAATAAGCCACTATGCCTGGCACACTTACATTTCAACAAATTCACAAGGGTTGTACTTTCTCAGCATCCTGCCTTCGCAACATTTGTGCATGTTCCCCTCCCTCTTCTCCTCTTCTGCCTTTCTCGATTTCTCCTCGGTTTTACTATGATAGATAGCACTTAACCACGTCCTAACTGATTTCATACTTGAGGTCTCTTAGCCTCATTCTGCTGGGTACTGGAATTATAGGCAGAGCAACCACAGCCAGTTTATCATCTGTTTTTCTGACAGTAGTCATCCTAAAGCGTGTGAGATCTCTTATCGTGGTTTGATTTCCTTTCCGGTAATTAGTAGGGGTGTTGGTCATCATTTCAGATGCTTGGTGGACATTTCGCTGTATTCTGAGACAAAGTCTCTTATTGGAGGCTGCCCTGAACTATGTAGATGAGGATGACCTTGCCAAGTATTGGGACTGCAGAACTGCTTTATTGAGACCAGTTTATGTGGTACTAGGTACTAGGCTTTGCGTACTCTAGGCAAGCACTTCAACGGAGCTTTATCCCCAGGCTTAGTAAACTCACTTAAAAGGTATCTGGATTCTTGATGCCGGGTGGAGAGAGACCAGAAGCCCAAGTGATTCTCCACGACTCAGCTCTGGGCTTGTCTCCAACACTAGCTTGAGTGACTTACAAAGAGGTTCATCTGCACCTTGCCTTTGGGTACTCTTGAATGTTTGTGGACGGCCCCACCCGCGCCACTTCTGTAGCAGAGGCCCCGCCCCTGAGCGCGTGAACACACCCTTTACTTGCGTGGCCCTGCCCCTCCCGGCCGCACGCAGTAGCGTTTCTTGTCACGTGGCGCCATGGCCGGATTTGAAGAGTTCTGTCATCCGCGGATTACTGCCCAAGGCTGCGGAAAGGTGTCGCCTGGAGGGGCTGCAGATTCCTGACTCAGCTCTGCGTGGGCCTTTCCGGTCACGTGCTGTACGGAGCAGCGGCCTGACGCGTTATTGCTAGGCAACGCTTGCAAGCTTCGACCTACGCTGGATCGCAGCAGTGGAGGATCTGGGCGCCGCGGGCCGGCATGGACCAGTACTGTATCCTCGGACGCATCGGGGAGGGCGCCCACGGCATCGTCTTCAAAGCCAAGCACGTAGAGGTGAGGCCACACTGCACGCTCTGTCCGAGGGGTACCCGCTGAGTCCCCTCTGCTTCAGGCCGCGAGCTGCGGCCTTTCGGTGCTGAGATCTGCTAGCGCGCGGCCCCCGGGGTCTCTTGGATGCTTGCTTGTCCGGGTCACTTCTGTGGCGATTCCGCTTCCAGCGGCGGGACTGCGTGAGCGCGTCCCCTGGCGGATGACTTAGAAATTCCCGACCTAGGGGCGGATCTCCCGGGTATCTTGTTCCTGGTGCGTTCTCTCCCTGCCCTTCCTTGCCTTTAGACCATCTCCTGCACTCTTTCCTGCACAGACTGGAGAGATCGTTGCCCTCAAGAAGGTGGCCCTGCGGCGGCTGGAGGATGGCATTCCTAACCAGGCCCTAAGGGAAATCAAGGCTCTGCAGGAGATCGAGGACAGTCAGTATGTGAGTGGGGCTGGGTATAGGTGGACAAGACAGTGGGCGGCAGGTCTCTTTTGCTCATTTCCATCCCCATCTACCCACCCACATACACTTTAAGGAGTCCTTTCTAATCCCCACGCTGCTCCTGCTTGCTTACCCTTTATTTATGCTCCCAGGTCACTACTTGCCTGAGTACTTCACACCTCATCTCCTCTCTCATTTAATCACTCGTTGCTCATACACTCATATATTTCCCTATTTTGTGATTTTTCTCTCTCTCTTTTTCCTTTTTGCTCCCCCCCTTCCTGCTTCCCTTCCTTCTCCTAGGTAAGTGCTGTGCCACTAAATTATGTCCCCAACCATACTGATTTCTCAGTAACTGGTACCCGTTGAGCGCTGCTTTGCTCTGCGGGTATGTTAAAGGCTTTGTGTGTGGTTACCCTGAGTTCTCCCTGCTTTTCAAAGCAGGTTTCAGAAATTTGTTAAGCAAGTGGAATGTTGCATTTTCATCATCAGTACATGAGCCCTCAGCTATCCAGTGAAGAGATTGGGCTGAGTGCCACTCTTCCCCGGGGGCCTCCTAAAGTCCTGGCCTGTGCACAGCACCAAGGACAGCGAGGAAGCCTCAGTCTGCTTCCTGAGAACATACGTGTAATGGAATCAGTAGGAGGTGACAAGGCCACACACCTGGTGTATGTGTGTGTGCTAGGGTAGTGTGAAGTCTGGTGGTGTATGTTTCAGGACTGACTGTAGATAAGTTTCCATTTCTTATTCCTTTATAGTTTGCATACTATCTGAATGTAGGCGCATGTTTTAATTTGTCCAATGATGTACTACCAAAAAACCCAATAAGTTGTTTCTCTTTTTTGTTGAAAATAAAAGGGCTTTCCAGGTAGCCTGTGTGTGGCACAGGGTGCAAGATCCATAAGGATGCTGGTGATTGCCAGCTACTTGAAGTTGCCATTTTAATCAACTTATTAATTAATGATTAATTTTATGCTTGTGAATATTTTGCATGCATGTATGTGTGTACCATGTGTGAGCCTGGTGTCCATGGAAGCCAGAAGAGGGCATTAGATTCCCTGGAACTAGAGTTATGGATGGTTGAGAACCACTGTGTGGGTGCTGGGAACCAAACCTGGGTCCTCTGCAAGAGCAACGAGTGCTCTTAACCACTGAATTTTCTGTCCAGCCCAAAGTTTTCATCTTAAAAAACACACTCAGGGGATGGGGGAATGGCTCAGTGGGTGGTGCTAAGCAGGTGAATGCCAGGTGGGTGTGGTACCCCACCAGTGAGTCCAATGTTTGTAAGGTACTGGGCATGGGATCCCTGGAGCAAGCTGGCTAGTCAGGCCTGCGTAGTAGACATTGCTTCAACAAGATAATGTGGAGAGCAGTTAAAGAAGACTCCTGACTTCACCCATGGTTCTCCACATACTCATGCACACACATATGTACACACATACACACATATATAAAGCACAAAGACATATATATATATATATATATATATATATATATATATATATATATATTAGATTTGTCCCCAGCCATTTTCATCTTCTTTACTAACTACCACTTCTTAGGTGTCCCTGCAGAGACTAGAATCCATATAGGTCTCAGGAGCACAGGACAAAACAGAAATGTTCCATCAGTTGGATGTTACAACTGTAATTTCAACATTTAGGAAGCAGAGGCAGGAAAATCCTGGCTGTCTTATGCTACATAGTGAGTTCAAGTCCTTTCCTCCCCACTGTTCCAAAAAGACACTTGTTTTCCTGTCCTTCTGCAATCTCTGCTAGTCTTAGGGCCTGGTTCTTTCTGCTTTCTCTGCTAAGACCTGACTCCTTGACATCTGCATAAGTGGCTCCTCCTCAGGCTTACCCCTGACCAAACCCCTTCAAATAAAGTATATATACTTCCTTTGCCCTCTCACAATCACACTGCCCTCTATCATGTACTGAATACATATTCCCTTTATTTGTTGGTCATTTATTTCCTGTTCTGTAAGCTCCTTAGAATCCTGGCATCCTAGCTCACTGCTCTGTGCAGTCTGGTCTTTAAGACGTCGGTAGTTACTGTGTGTGACATGTCTTCATTGTCCCAATACCAGGCAGGATGTGATTCCTGGTTCTGTCCCCAGGTTTGGAGGTGAGTATAGAGCAGTGGTCCTCAACCTTCCTCACACCGAGACCCTGTAATACAGTTCCTCATGTTGTGACCCCCCCAGCCATAAAATTATTTTCGTTGCTACTTCATAACTGTAATTTTGCTATGTTTGTTACGGATCATAATGTCATTATTTTTGGAGATAGATGCTTGACAAACTCCTGGTATAGAGGCTGATAGGATTTCTTCCCTCAGGTGGTACAGCTGAAGGCCGTGTTCCCACATGGTGCAGGATTTGTGCTGGCCTTCGAGTTCATGCTGTCAGACCTGGCGGAGGTGGTGCGCCATGCCCAGAGGCCACTGGCCCCAGCACAGGTCAAGAGCTACCTGCAGATGCTGCTCAAAGGTGTCGCGTTTTGCCATGCCAACAACATTGTGCATCGGGTCAGTACCAATATGGGCTGTGGTGGGCTGTGGTGAGCTCGTCCTTGAAGAGGGTGCAGTCAGAGGGTCTTAAGGTAAGCAGCCAGGGCTGTGGCTCTAGAGCAGGTGGGGCTGCCTATCTCCCTGTCCTGAAGCCCCTCCCTTTGTATGCACAGGACCTGAAGCCTGCCAACCTGCTTATCAGTGCCTCAGGCCAGCTCAAGATAGCTGACTTTGGCCTGGCTCGGGTTTTCTCTCCAGACAGCGGTCGCCTCTACACGCATCAGGTGGCCACCAGGTAACGTTGCCAGTCCCCTCACTGGGGAAGAGACACCTCTGCACCTTTTGTCCAGGCCTGTGCTGTGAGGCTGGGGTGAACTCCGTAGCTTCTCATCAGACCAACAATCCAGCTGTGATCTCAAACCCTTCTCTCCCAGGTGGTACCGAGCTCCTGAGCTCCTGTACGGTGCTCGGCAGTATGACCAGGGCGTCGACCTATGGTGAGACACTTGGGGTAGATGAGGTAATGTGTGCCTGCCGTGGGGCTGTCCTGTCTGGTTATAATAGTCTGAGCAGCTTGGGATCTTATCTGTGTTCTCCGCCATGAAGTTTTTGAGTTTGTTGAGGAAAGGTTAGGAGAGTGGTAGTCTCAGGCAGGAGGCTTCTGGGACTTTGAGGGGAAGGTGGTCTGAGGTGCAAGGCATGTAGTATGTTCAGATATATGCTTTGAGCATGAGACAACACTGAGCTAGAGGGAGGCTTGTTTCCCTAGGTATGAAGACTCAGCATTTTGGGGGACTAGGGAGATTGTGGTATTCAGAGGTCTGAGATTTAGATTACTTTGCATTTCTGCCTCCCCCCCCCCCCAATGGAGGAGGAGCTGGGTGTTCCAGACATGAGAGTCTGAGTGTCTTGGAGCTGTCAGGGGATGTTCTGTTATAGAATTGATGTCTGTGGAGGAGTAATACCTGGCTGCACTAGAAAACTCTGGACCTTGACCCCAGTGTGAGGTATTAGAGCTGTTGTGGGTAGCTTGATCACTCTTATGTGAGATCTCCAGTTGCTTACATCTGTATCCACAGGGCTGTGGGCTGCATTATGGGAGAGCTGTTGAATGGGTCCCCCCTGTTCCCAGGAGAAAATGACATCGAGCAACTTTGCTGTGTGCTTCGAATCCTGGGCACCCCCAGTCCTCGAGTCTGGCCGGTTAGTAGCAGCCATTGCTGGGGAGGGGGCAGGTTTGCTCCATTCCCCCAGAAGGATGTGGCTTCTCCCTGTGCAGGTGTCCTGGGGCCCCAGCCTCCCTTGACCAATGAAGATTGCTTTCTTGGCCCCGAGGGAGGGCCAGGTCTTGTCTGGGGTAGCATCTCAGCAAACTGGGCAAGGAGCAGGCCTCAGATAGGATGAGGGGGGCTAATGGAAAACATGTGTGAGCGATGATGAACCTTGACCTGAATGAGAAAGGGAAAGAAAGCCTGCATGGGAGTGTTGGGGCAGGGTCTGCCCTCATTGCCTTTTCCACTTCTGGGCTCAGGAGATCACAGAGCTGCCTGACTACAACAAGATCTCCTTCAAGGAGCAGGCACCCATAGCCCTGGAGGAGGTGCTGCCTGACGCCTCTCCCCAGGCCTTGGATCTGCTCGGTCAGTTCCTCCTCTACCCTCCACACCAGCGTATCGCAGCCTCCCAGGTAAGGTTCAAGGTTGCGGTCACTGCTCCGGTACTCTGCCCTCAGTAGCCATGGGGCCCTGCCAAGTCAGTGGCTCTCAGCCTCTGTGATGGGCTAGAACCCCAGGAGATGGGTCTTTCCAATGGGGAGGGTAGTCTGTGACCTTTGCCCTCTGTCCACCCCCCTCTCCCTTGTGGTTACAGGTGTTGGAGGCGGGAGTTGTCTCCTCACCTGGTTGCTCTTCATGTCCTTATCCCTCCCTCCTGTGCTTGCTTCTTCCCTTGGGCTTGTGCTCCTGGGTCCTGATGCTTCAAATCCTGCAGCGTCTGTCTGTCCGGTCTTCTCCAGCGCTTCTCCCCAGCTCTGTTATGACTTGTCCTGGGAGACAGGAACAAGTGTCTCTGTTTACTTCAGGTAGACACTGATAACAAATCTGACCCGAGTCTAATTATAGTTCCAGGTGTTTCCTGGGACTCGTTAGTTTCCTTTACTTCCTGAGTCTTTAAGGAGCCTCCTGCCCAGAGCGAATGTTTCAATTGGGGGGGGGGGATAGCTACATAACAAGCTATCATTGTTGCCGGAGACATATCCTGCAATTTGCTCCTTTCTCCGGGTTCATGCCGCTAGTCCTTTCCTCTGTTGGCAAGACTTCTAAGCTCACTGCCGTGTTCCCAGCTGCTGCAGACAAGGTGTGCGCGCACGGGCGCACAGGCGCGGTTTGCTGAGTTAGCCGAATGACTCTGGGCTTTTTCTTCTGTCCCTCAGGCCCTTCTACACCAGTACTTCTTCACAGCTCCTCTGCCTGCCCATCCATCTGAGCTGCCAGTTCCTCAGCGCCCAGGAGGACCTGCACCCAAGGCTCACCCAGGCCCTCCCCATGTCCATGACTTCCATGTGGACCGGCCTCTTGAGGAGTCACTGCTAAACCCAGAGCTGATTCGGCCATTCATCCCGGAGGGGTGAGATGGCTTGCCCAATCCTGCCTGCTTGCCCCAGGAACACCTAGACAGCCATTCCTCTGCCTCTTCCTGATTTCCGTCCATGGCCTCCTCATGGATATACACGCTACACGTCGTCCTACTCCTTAGCCTGCTTGAGGGCTGGGCTCCAGGAGGCAGAACCATGAAGATGTCCTGCTCATAGCCTCCATAAAGAACAAACTGTGTGCTTCCCCAGGGCTGGCGCTCAGTGGTGTCACCTGTCTTGGAGATGGTTCTCCACGCTCTGTCTCCTGTTCAAGCACATTGCTATTACAGCACCACCTGGAGAGGCACAGAGAGTAAGCTGTCTCCATACTGGGAAGGCAGCCTTGCTTTGGTTTGGTTTCTAGAGCACTCTGGGCCTGCATTTGAGATTCAAATAAAATCCCTATGTGCTTCTGCCTGTTTCTACTAGGGAAATTAACAAGGGTGAATCATAGGGGTCTGTCATCCATTCAGGGCCACTTTGGTCCTGAGGCTTCCTGAGCTGTTCATGTGACTTGAGCGCTCATTTGGAAAGCAGGGTCCAGAAGTTGAGGCTCAGGGATGGACAGACTGGCTCCCAAAGCGTAGTTTCCACATATTGGGAGTTAGTCAGTTTCTCTGTGGGATGAGGATGAGCCAGAGGCTGCTGTGCGGTTTTGAAGCAGGCATTCCTGGAATTCATTCAGTAAATAAACTCCAGTGTAACTCAGCCAGCTTGTTGATTTTTATTTCATAGGAATATAGTAAGATGAGCCTAAAACAGTGGTTCTCAACCTTCCTAATGCTGTGACCCTTTAGTACAGTTCCTCAGGTTATTTCATTGCCACTTAATAACTATAATTTTGCTACTGCTACAAATCATAATGTAAACATCTGATGTGCAGACTATCTGATATGAGACTCCTGTGAAAGGGTTGTTTGACCCCCATGGGGTCATGACCCATAAATTGGGAAACAAGGACCAAGAGAAGGGAGCAGACAAGATGACAGGAGGACTTGTATATGGATATTAAGACTTACTACAAGGTTATGTAACAACTAGACAGGATGTGGTTTCAGGAATGGATTAGGTAGAATCTGAACTATCCATTATTCAGGTGTGTAACAATTTGCTAATGGTTATGGCATATGCCTATAACCTAGCTCTTAGGGGTTTGGGACAGGAGGATTCCCAAGAGTGGAAGGCCACCCTGGGCTGCAGTGGGAGATCCTGTCTCAGAAAAAAAAAAGGGGAATGTTTGTCTATATGTATATGTGTATGCATATATACAATACACACAAATAGGAGACACTATATTCTTTTATTTTATTAAAGATTTATTTATTTATTGTATATACAGTGTTCTGCCTGCACATCTGCTTGCAGGTCAGAAGAGGGCACCAGTTCTCATTAAGGATGGTTGTGAGCCACTTCTGGATTCTGCAGTTCTGCGGACTGAATCCAAGGCTTTGTGTATGCTGGGCATTCCAGCCCTTTCCCTGAGGGCTCAACAAGGCCTTGCTGTCTAGCTCATGTTGTCTTGGAACTCATGTTTCTCAGCCTCTGGAGTAGCTGGGTTTACAGGTAGATGCCACTACAACTAACTTCAGAGTTTAAGGTAGATATGAGAGAGCTAAAAATGAACAAATCCACTTTCAGGGTAATTGGTTTAAAGCTGGGCCTGGTATGGCCGCCAGTGGTGGCATACAGTTTTGATCCCAACGCTTGAGATGCAGAGGCAGGCACATCTCTGTAAGTATAAGGCCAGCTTGGTCTACATAACAAGTTCTGGGCTACCCTGGTCTACATAGTGAGACCCTGTCCTTACAATGTATGCATGATAGGATTAAAAATGGCAGGCAAGACATAAGAGGAAGATTGTGTGTGTGTGTGTGTGTACATGTGTGTGCAATTAAGTGTGTGAATGTGTGCAATTACACGTGTGCCTTACCACATGCACAAAGGTCAAAGGACAATTTTCAAGAGTTGATTTTCTCCTTCTATCTTGTGTGTCCCAGGTATTGAGTTCAGTTCATCAGGCTGGGTGACAAGTGCCTTTGCCTGTAGAGCCGTGTTGTTGGCCCTTTGTATAGGGTTTATGCAGATATCTCATTCACATAAGGGACCTGAGAATCCATAGACTGACATCTGCAGGGTTCGGGCAGCAGTTCCCTGTGCATACTAATGGATACTGCATTTTGTCACAGTGCCAACATACTAGGTAGATTTAATGGAGTCAGACAGTTATATTTCTTTGTAGTACTGCCATTAAGAGTCATAGTATTTCACAGGCTATTTTTTTTTTTTTTTGGTCTCTAGAGGGGAGCTGATTCATACCCTGGTTGTGGGTAGCAGAATTTGAGAAACTTCCAGAAATTACCTGCAAAGCTCTTACCCAGGACTGGGAAGCCTTCTATAACTAGAAACAAAGTGTTTACATGTCCAGTTCACCAGGAAGCTTCATTCAGGTGAAAGGTCAGCATGTGACCTGGTTCCTGGTCTTGCTTCATTACTAACCTAGGATGGAATTCCAGCTATCTGCCATGTTCCAGTCCAACCTGGCCATGACACCCCTTTCTTTGTTTTTCTTTTTCTCTTTTTAATTTTTCAAGACAGGGTTTCTCTGTGTAGCTCTGTAGACCAGGCTGGCCTCGAACTCACAGAGATCTGCCTGCCTCTGCCGCCCGAATGCCGGGATCAAAAGTGTGCACTACCACTGCCTGGCCAACTGTCTCATTTGAGAATACTTTCCTTCTGGAGGCCTGAACCCCACTTCCATCCACTCAGCAGGGGCACCTGGCCCATCCCAGGCTTTTGAGAGAATCCCAGGCCACTCTTAACAGTCGGTGGTCAGAGGGTTATGCTTGGGATTGAGGAAGCTCATCACAGGAGTCTTTCTCTGAATGGAACGCGAGAGGGACAATACCTTTCTGTCAGGTTTTAAGGGTATGGAGGATCTGGAAGAGTGGCTACCCTCCTGTGACAGGAGCAAGCCTAATATTAGGCCTCAGGGATAAATGAAATTCATACAGAGGAGAATGAAACTGAAAGGAGAAAGTTCTGATGACTTTATGTTCTAATGAATGACAGGGACCTTTACAGTGGGAGTGGTTCTCAGTATTAACAAGGATCTAAGAGGGGAGGAAAAGGGAAGGATAGGGAGGGGAGGGAGAAAGGCAGAGGGATCGGGGAAGGAAGGGAAGGAGGAAGGGAGGGAGGGAGGAAGGATAGAATGTTTTACCTCCCTCTAGAGCATCCTGTGTCTTTACAAGCCTCCATTAAGATGGAGGGTTCTATTTTGGAGGAAATTGCTATACAACCACCACTAATTTGGGGTCTTATATAAGACTCTAAAGCGACTTCCCTCCCATCTCATCCCTGGGTAAACCCATGAGATTCTGAGAGCCAGCTTTGGTCTGCAGCCCAGAAAGCACAGCATCCAGCTAAGAGGGGCTAAAGTCAATGTTTGGGTGAGAAAGTCAAAGGGCAGGGCTTGTAGAGACATTGTCTGGCCTTGGAGGTACACTCAAGTTTTTGGGTTTCTTCTGCTTTTGAAATGTTTCTGATGTGAAGCTGTTCTGAGTCTCTTTGGGATCCTCCTGAGTAGATCTTGTGTATTCATGGCCTGATGCTGCCTGGTGTGTCATGAATCTACAGATGGGCTGAGATCGGCCACCTCTGTGTCAGCCAGAAATAAAGGAAGGGTGTATCTCCAAAGTCAGGTGTAAATACAGTTTAACACCGATTTAAAATGAATGCCAATTCCTGTTTTCTCTGTGATGGGTTGACAGGCAGATAAAGCAAAGGTGGAATTTCCTGTTGTCAGCCAGAGAATATGGGCTGTTGTCAGAAAATGCAGACAGTAGATGGTGCTATTGGCTTGTGTGATGTGATTCACATTGCATGCTCTAGAGAACTGAGAAACTCACTCTGAGGAGGGAAAGGAGCAGGGGAAAACATGACTTCCTAAACTGTCTGTTCTCCCAGAGGCCCAGAGCACAGGAAGTCATTCCTAGTGCACCAAATCGTGTGACTTAGATAGGCACAGCCAGAACAGGGCAGTCTCCTCCTCAGGCTGCCATCTCCTCAGGGCCTCAAACCATCAAAGAGGCTACCATCTTCAGGATAAGTTAGAGTACTGCCCCTGTGATGAGGGGCCTTGTCAGAACCTGGTCAGTCCAGAGCAGTGGAGCGGCCTGATCACTGCAAGGGGTGGGGGTGAGGAGCAGTGGGGAGGAAGAGGGGCATGGCTTGTGGGAAGCTAACCTCAGTGCTGATATTTCACCTTAAGGTGAAAATAGGGACAAACATTCACCATGGATCATCCGTGAGATAGGGAGTTTTGACAAGAGCCACCCACATGATGGGAAGAACACTCCTGGTCTACCTGCCTCTCTGAAACATCTTGGTTCCTTCATGTCCACCTCTTTCTGTTTCTCTTCACACTGGGGATCATTTCTGGAGGTCCTTTTATTTTTATTTTTTTTCACACCCTTTCCTTTTTGTTTTTTTTTCTTTTTCTTTTTCTTTTTTTGTAATGTATAGCTTTTTAAAATTTTATTTATTTATTTTATTTATTTATTTTATATATCCCTTTCCTTTTTTGTGTCCTAGTATTTTGCCTGCAAGTATGTCTATGTATCAGTGTGTGTGGTGCCAGCAGAGGTCAGAAGGGAGCATCACTTCCTTAGGAACTGCAGTTACAGATGAGTGTGAGCAGCTACCATGTGGGTCCTCTGGGAGAGCAGCCAGTGCTCCTAATCACTAGGGCGTTACTCCACACCTGCTGGTGGTGGCCTTCAGAATTTTCCTGGAAGTTGGCAATGCCAGTGTCATTTGTTTCTGCTCATCTTTATTTATGTCTTGGGAAAACTATGATCTAGGTCAGTGTAACAGTATCTTCTCTCACATCTTAAAAAATATTTATTTATTTATGTTTGTTTCTTTTGAGACAGGGTTTCTCTATGTAGTCCTGGCTGTCCTGGAACTCACTCTATAGACTAGGCGGGCCTCGAACTCACAGAGATCTGCCAGTCTCTGCCTCCTGAGTGTTGGAATTAAAGGTGTGCACAACCACACCCTGCTCAAACAATGGCTTTATTTATTTTTTTAAGTTTTCCCTGTGTGTATTTATGTGTACCATGTGTGTACCCTCATGCCCTTGGGAGTGAGAAGAGGGTGTCAGATCCCCTGGAACTAGATACCCATGGTTATGAACCACCACGTGGATGCTGAGGACTGAAAATAGGCCTTCTGCAAAAGCAGCAACCACTCTTAACCCCGGAGCCATCTTGTCTTTGTTTTGAGACAAGGCCTCACTATGTAGTCCATACCAGCCTCAAACTTGTGACCCTTCTGCATCAGCCTCACCAGTGCTGGCACTGCAGGAAGGCAACACCACTCCCAGCAGCATTAGGAAGTTCTGATCTACCCGCCACTGTGGAGGCAGTAGCGGACACAAGCAGACACAAACCCTAC